GGCTCAATTGACTTTATTGATCACAATGGAAACGGCTTTGGCGGGTACAAGGGCCGCCGTGTCATGCGAATCATTCTGTCCATGGCCATGATGACGGTGGTCGAAAGGACTCCAAATGTCAATCTCGTCTTTGGCAAGAAAGTGATTGGCGGTGAGGAAATCAGTGACAAGGCCATTATTCATTTCAGTGATCAATCGGAAGTCATTGCAGACCTCGTCATTGGCTGTGATGGTGTTCATTCCGCCGTTCGTACCCGCTGGGTTGATCCCGACTGCGCCTCTCAATACACGGGCATGTCTTTCTTACAGGCTACTCTCTCGGCAAACTCCCTCTCCACTCCACCCCATTTCCAGTCATCTGCGTTGAATATCTCCCGTCATGGCTCGGTGTTGACGAGCTTCTGCGACCGTGATCGCGAGCAAATATTTGCAGCTGCCATCGTTCAGTTCGATCAAGCAGAACTGAGCCACCATCGCCTTGAGCCGGGGCAAGACTGGGCAACTAAGGATCGGATTCGTCGGGATTTGCGCTACGAGATGCGATCTCGGTTCTCCAAATCAGCGCTGCCCTGTATCCGAGAGATAGTGGAGAGTAAAGCGGATTGGATGCTTTACCCTGTTTATCAAGTCCGACCGGGAGGACGATGGTGTATGAACCGTGTCATCCTACTTGGTGATGCAGCACATGCGGTATGTCTTTTGATGGACAGTTACAATAAAAGATGACAATCTGTACTAACAGGCTGCGACAGATGCCCCCTCGAGACGAATCAGCAGCATATGCCTTGGATGATGCTATTCTCTTTGCTCGTATCCTGGCACGTTACCGCTCGGAGCCTCTCACAGAGGTCTTCGAGGCATACGAGCGACTTCGTCGAGAAACGATCAACCGCGCTTTCAAAGAATCCCGCCGCATGTGGGATAGGAATCGTGACATGGGCTTTTTGGAAGGCCGGCTTAAAGAGTGGATGATGCCCTTCCAGATTCGAAGTCACCGCGATGAACGAGAAAGTGCGTGGGAGTTTGACGCAACCAAGATTCTGCTTCCGACACCGACTCCAAGCGAGGATTTGGTGTCGCTAAATTCATTCTTAAAGGAAGGTACTGCATAAGCGAAAATCTATTATGAAATACTTCCTTCGGTTGGCTCGGGTGTTTGGATGGATTGCATTGAGGGTGTACTGATTTGAATTTATGGTGTGATACCCGGGGAACTATTGGGTTTAGTGATATCGGTAGTCAATCAAGTCGGGCTCATGCCTAGTGGCTGGTGCCAATTTCGAAGTCTAATTTCCCGAAGTGTACCATATCCTACCATGTCCATACCGAACTGGGCGAGTTGATGAACCCTGCTCTAGCATCTGTCATAGGCTAGTCTGCCGAGAGATATGTATGGCCAGGGCTACAAGATATCGTACTTCAAAATCAAATTTCGCGAAAGAAATAGATAATTGCAAATTGATAAAAACTCAGCGATACAAACAACTCTGTCCTCAAGCTACCTCAAAACCAAAGTATCGGTTGTCCAGCCCGTGTTCAAACCGAGCCCTTAGAAGCTCAGGGTCTGACCAGCAGTACCGACAACAGCGCTCTTGACCTTGCTTGATCCAACCAAAGTGTAGGAGTAGGGCACAGAGGTCAGAGTTCCGGTCTCAGCAGTATTCTCGCCATCACCAAAGTCGTTGTCTCTGGCAACGGCATAGCCATCGTCAGTGGAGTAGAGAGGCTTGCTGCTGCCGACGAAAGTGTTGGACTCGACGAGAACCTGGGCACCATCGCGAGTGTTGAT